TGAAACATACAGGAATAATATTAAAAAAAATAGAATCTTGTACAACTTTTGTAACAATATTTGATGGTATGTGTATGTTTTCTTTGGAATTCAAAATATTTCTTTAAATATTAATGAACAAAAACACAAAACTATCGTTGTATTTACATATTACATAATTTTAGTGTCTTCTCTGTTTATTTATTCATAACTATTTATTGTCCAAGGCTGTACATAATATATTCCACCTCGTGTTCTATTTGAATGTGTTACTGCTACAAAATAAGCTAGGTTTTATTTATTATACAATCTAAATTTTATAAAATCACTATTACTCCTGCCACTTTTATAACATGAAGGATACCTGTAGAATTGTTCGCAGAAGTTAAAAAGTTCTCGACGTGTGTTCTAAAGTAAACTTTCACTTCACTCCAGAAGTCTATTAGTGTCGAAAATTTAATTAAGTCTAGCAGTCGATTTCCCCTGGCTGCTGAAAACTTGCTGTAGTTGGTTTCTATCGCTTCATAAAAATCGCATTATTTAGGTATCGATAAAGTGTGCGTTGAAGTTACAAAAAATATTATTTTTGAAACTAGTTTTAAATAGTAAATGCTTTGTTGCGTTTACAAATAACTTGAATTAAAAACGGTACAAAAAGTTTACGTCTTCTGCTAGGGTTACACAGGATAGTTTATTAGCTATGTTCGCTGCGACAGTTATGTTCGCTGAGATAGTCATGTTCGCTGCGACAGCTATGTTCACTGTGATAGCTATGTTCGCTGCGACAGCTATGGTCACTGCGACAGCTATGTTCGCTGCGATAACTATGTTCGCTGCGATAGCTATGTTCACTGTGATAGCTATGTTCGCTGCGACAGCTATGTTCACTGTGATAGCTATGTTCGCTGCGACAGCTACGTTCGCTGCGATAGCTATGCTAGCTGCAATAGCTATGTTCGCTGAGGTAGCTATATTCGCCATTTTAGCTATGACCGCTATTTCCTCAATAAATGCTGCACTAGCGACACAATGATTTTTTGATACATATCCCTCTACATATTACTAAATTAATTGGAACCGGTTAGACCTCAGTAAGCCTAGCGCTACTAACTTATTTAGTGTTCTAAAAATAATTAAATGATAACAATTTTAGCGACCGCTTACCTATTAAATGATTCAGGGTAACAAACGAGGAAAACCCGTCCGTAAATAGTACATACAACCTTACATAATTCAGTGGGATATCAGAAATTACTCTACACGCTCCATTAAAAAATTTACTCCGGCTTTGAGAAAATTGATATCCACAAGGGTGAACAGCTGTCGTTTCTCCGAGGTCCCCTGTAATGACAGTCTGTTATTTATACAAGATCGAACGAAGTAAATTCAGAAATAGAAATAAAATAATCTATGCAAGTGAATATTTAAACGGAATAGGTGAATTTATAAATCTCCAAACGAGGTGAGACAGTTTCATTCACAAACAATGGTTGTCCTTACAGTTTTTTTATGAGCGTTGATTTACAGGGTGAAGCAATTATCTATAAAAAACTTTGCTGTTTTATCATTAAGTGGTCCAATAATTTTTATAAGCACGTACTGGAGCATTAAATAAAAACAAATAGCCCCACAATGCTTTATATTAAAGAATAAGATATATTTCTCAGGCCTAAGCGTTCCTCCATATACTCGTAATCCTCGTAAATTCCAAGACCCTCCTCGGTCGATTCACCCCGTACATTCTCCTGATTACACTCCTCACCCGCCCCCCCATTTCAAGGCAGTGGAACTTGGGCGAGGTCGACGACAAAATAAATAACCTTCCTTCCACCTTACCCGGCGAGCCACATAACTTTTACTCTCTACACGACATCTATTGAATATTTTTTTCACTTAGAGCGGCTATTACTTCAGGTGGGGCGGCAGTTTGTTCTTGTATCGACACGGGCCCTAATTTATGGCTCTTTGTTTTTCCAATAAGCTGGAACTGCATCTCGGCACTTCGGGGGCTCCCTCTTAATTCGCTTGAACGCTGAAAAATGGGGGAAGACGCCGCGGTGCACTTGGCGCAGTTGTCTAGGTCCCTGTTGGGGGTTTCGAGGTTCTCATTTTTTGCGTTGTATACTTTTTCAAAAATGTGTATATAAGTATGAATTCTTACATTGTTTAATAAGTCGGGAATGTTAAACTGAGGCGGATACCGCTGCAGGACCTCTGCGGAGTCATCATATGAGGCGTTCGACAGTCGACCCTTGTATCTTAACACTTGTTAAACAGGGAGGAATAACATATTTCTAATAAATTCAAATTATTCCAAAAAGAAAAACAAAACTATTTATATGATAGAACGTAACACAGAGACAAATTTTATTAAGGACGTGTCAAAAATATTTTTGAATTACAATTAAAAATTTTAATTTTAAAAACAAAGCGTTCTGAACTTCAAAGCGGAACCTCACTGGAAAATAAAAATAATTAAAAAACTAAGTACACCCATAGCTATTCAGTATCAAACGTCGAGCTTTTCAAGCTGCCTTCGCAGCTTTTAAGCCCACGAACTGCTTTTACGGCAAGTGGATAAAGTTCTATAAAAATAGCGTTACTGATTACGCTCCGCTCGATCTTTTAATGTCAGATATAACAAGTCATTAAAAGCTACCCGTGGTTTTATTGAAGTTTGATCGCAATTTTATATTGTAAAGTCGTTACAATATAAAAGGCGTCTTGTAAAGTTTCAAGGTAGTTTGATTAATCAATTGTATTTTTTCTATATTAATTCCAGCATATGTTTTGTAGCCATGTCAGTTTAGTAATTAAGCTAGTGAACGAGTTAGATATGATGTCGATGGAAAAGTGTAACTATGACAACTTTTACTCCTGAAGAATACCGCGAATAGAAATACGGTCCTGTATAATATTGCCTTCGCAGGAATAAAAGCTTAAAAATTTATTTAAAACTTGTGGAGAAAACACAAAAAGCTTGTCACGAAATCCGTTACTCTGGCGTTCAGCGAAGCCCTGATAAAATTCCTGAAATTAATGATCCAAAATAAGAACAGATATCTCGCTGTTTGACAGCGGGGTGGGCGTTATAATTGTTTGAGGATAATAATTAGGGATTCAAGAGCCTGGGCTGATGAGGGTTGAGGTGGTTTTATCGGGCTGCGTCATCATGAACGCTCTCATGTCTGCTCGCAGCCCAGAATTGAATCATAATAAATTTCGGGGAGTTAATCTTAATAGAAGTACAAGTTCCTAAAACATCTTTCACGAAAATAATTAACAAAGAATCATTCATAAATCAGCGTTCAGTAAGGTAATCGAAAAAAATATGAATATATGTGAATATACGAAAATGAATATGTGAATATTTAGGAGGGACCACCAAGGAGTAAAAATTTTTCCAGTACGGTCCTGTATAGAACATTTCGTGTTTATGTGGTACCCTACATTTAAATTTTAATCATTTCTTGATTGAATTTCCGACTGAGCCACAAAAATAGATACATTTTACCAACACATTTCGTAAAAGTAAAAGTAACATGTTCTAAAGCGAAAACTCAACTCAACTTTTCGATAGAATTTGTTTATAATCTCGAGGGAGTGTTCAAATTAAATTCTTGTTATTACGTTTTTACGCAACCTTAACTAAAAGTTATTATAATATCTAGGAGGTATTATAAACACCCATTCATCTATGTCGCGCATGTTTACACCTTTTTCTTCCACGATTCAAGTAAATAGAATGCGTGGATAAACGAAGGTAGGTACGCTCTTTCTCAAAACAGAAATAAATTCGCATAAAGATTACATGAGAGTATGTTGAACTTTAATTCCTTCACTTTTACATGAAATTTATTACTTGTCTCTAGACGGAAATCGTTAGTCAAGGATGTTGAGCTTCATACTAAGCAAACTGTAACTAATAAATGTAATTGGCATCATTTTTCCTTAAAGTATAAATGTAAAATTATTATAAGTTATAATTAATTATTTGTAGACAGATGAATGGCTTTGGAAATCATATTTTAATTAAACTGTAGGGATTTGAATTTGTACGACGAACGGGGCGGTATATTATCATTATTTGATTATCTGTCGCAATATAGGATTTCTAACTAAAGTTACAATATACATTTTTGTTGTGGAAAGTGCTCAATTTGGAATAATTTGGGAGTAGAGCATGGATGTTTTTTTCATTAAAGTCAGCATACGGTTAATCATGATAAGTTGGCTACACTATTTCTGTTTTTTAAGGACTGATTTTTATACTAAATTATACAGGGTGTCCCATAAGCACATGATCAAAAAGGTACTGCGACATTCTTTGGCTCAAAAGAAGACGATTTGACCTAACATCCATTAAGAAAAAATGCCTGTCTCCTCTGTATGTAGAGTACTAAACATCTAGAGATTCTAGAGAATATGACATTTTTACGAGATATTGCTAAAAGTATTGACAATCTGTTTTAACATTCAATTTTATCATACTTCCCCTTTTAATAAAAGTAGACCACTTGAAATTGCAATAATTCCTCAAATGCCAAAATAGTTAGCCAAATAGCCAATTAATCGTGGTACTTGGGTACTGATTTTGTTCAAAGTAATATTATATTAATTTCAATTTCAAAAATAGAAAACTTGCTATATAGAAAACATGTTAATTAATCCATATTAATATTAATCTGTTGGTGCATCTGGACATTTATTGAGTTTAATTTATTAGAAATCTGCATAAATTAAACATACGAAATAATTAATCTCGGTCAAATTTTCTGCCCAAACCAGTTCGCATATATCTTATCTCCGAAATCGCGAAAAACAAACAAAAATCACCTGGGTGCGATCTAGACAGTAAAAGACAAAGGCGATCTAATTAATTTCAAACGAGGCGATACATTTTTGACTAATATTATATCACTCCACATCTCAGGATGGACAATCTCCTAGGGCTGCAGTGAAAGTAGTGAAAGATCTGAGCGGTATAAATACCGAGCTTTCCCGAAATAATTCATCAGTCAATTCATCTACACTGCTGCAGTACACATCGCACCGTGTACTATGAATTCTTTCGTAAGTTGAACAATTTTCATGTATTTCTATGATATTTGCGGTTTTGTGGGGTTTGTGGCGGATCTAGTGTGCCGTGGTGAGCGCCAGAGAGACGTGCGTTTGTTTTTAGAAGCGTTTCAGATCTAGTTTTTTCATTTGATAATTTAAAATAAAAAAATTTTTTATATCAAAATTTGTTTATGAAATGTAAAACATTGTACTCAGAGTGTAAGTGCTGTGATATTAATTTTTTGGATGTAGAAAGTTAAAAGATGAGCTTAGATACTTTGATTTGAAAAGTTTTAAAATTTAATTATAGTGCATTATTTATTAATATTAGATCAATTATTTTTTTAATTGATATAATTTATAAGCAAAAAAGTAATTTTTAACATAAGGAATTTTTTATAATGCCGAAGCTTTTCTAAAAAGAGAGTTGATTGAAAAAAAAACGAAAATATTATTTGCACTACATATATATTTATTTATAGTATAAATTTAATAAAAAATTATAAGTTAAGAAAATAACATTGACATTAACTATATGCAATATTTTTATCAATATTTTCATACGAAACGTATTTTTTTTAAGAACATTTTTTAAACATACAATATGTGTCGATTTATTTGTACGCAATACTTAAAAAAATATGTTTTTTAAGATTTTTCTAGACGCTAATTTTTCAAAATTATTCATATTTCTGTAAATATCTATTACTTTTTAAATTTGATTTACATTATTTCATTATTTAATTTATTTTTGTCTGAATTAGTGGCGGAAGAAAAGACAATTTTGCAAAAACAATAACTAAAAAAGATACCAGATCGTCAAGCCAAGACATGTAGAATAATGTTATTTTCAGACAAAAACGTCGAAACTTTAATTTTCAAATAGATGGGGCTTAAATTCATAGAGAAAATTTAGCGAAAAATATTCGACTTTCATTTGTTTTTCAATTACTACTTTAATAACTTGGCGTCTCTGAATAAGACACCTTGTATTAACAACTACAACAACAAAGAGCTAGATATACCAGATATACAAAACGTGAAAAGCTTGAACCAACAATAATTACATTGCAAATTATTTAATAATAAATATATAACTCCATTGTACAATCTACGGCACTTGAAGATGCTCTCAATAAAGTCTTCTGTGAGGCAAAATAGCTGAATAAATAATTTATTTAATTTTTTCACATTATTTACTGGCTAAAAAGTTAATATAAAATAAAGTAATTTTCAGTTAAAGCTCAAAGTTTTACATTGTATTTATTTTGACAAAGGAAAAAGGTTGACAGAATTTTTATTTGAGGACAAAATTAGTATTTCACTTCTTATATTCTACCTGTTAGTAATGTAATTCGACAAGTGCTTTTAACCATTTCTATATATTCTTTGATTATTTGCTATCGATTCGTTAATATTAGAATATCAGAGTCAAGTGTACTTTTGTGAAAAATCTACCGATTCGAACCAGTTTTCTATACAAAAATGCCACTGCCACGGTCGATGATTCTCAGTCGGTAACGGTAACACCAGTTAGTCATCTTTGGATTGATTCGGCTTTCATTTTCTAGCCTCATACGTAGCACACTTATTATGTTATATTGAAAAAAAAACGCGTAAGATATACTTTCACCGGGACTACTTTCTATACTTAATAGCGTTTTAATAACAAGATTGCGCTCTTTTTATTGGCAAGATGAATGGGTGCAATAAGAAACGGAATTAGAAAGAAGAGCAATTATCTGTAAGCCGTAAATTGACCGGCAGTCACAGATGACATTAGATCCGGCTAATAGAATGTCCAATGTCAATTAAATGTAACAGAGTTCTGTTAGGAACATTTGCACATTTTTCTTTTCATGCAAAATTTATAGAAACTAGGACACACTTCAAATTTTGAACCAAATACCTTAGTCAACTTAATTTAAGCGCAATTTTTTTTGAAAAAAACATTGCTTTTAGGTATTGCTCTCCAACTTAGAAATAAAATTGTTTTGAGCTTCAATATATTTCTCGAAATCTGCGTCTAAAAATAAAAACAGTGGCTCCAGAATTGATCTTTGGGGAACCCAATTATGACATTGGTTACAATTATTTGATTTAAACGCAAGGAAAACCAATTATTATTTATCTCAAAGTTTATGTCGTAGTTTTTGTCTCTAAGCACTCTTGTTACCATTTCCAGGTGTATGTGTCCCTCTTGTGCGCTGTCGCGACCGTAAATGCCGGCTTCTCAGGCAGTTACGGAGGCCACGATGGAGGAGGTCACGACATCTCCCACACCGTGGAGATCACCAAGCACGTACCTATCCCCGTGTACAAGCACGAGGCTGTCCCGATTCCCCACACCGTCCCCGTCCCCGTACCCAAACCAGTAGCGGTACCGGTTCCACAACCCTATCCCGTCCACATTAAGGTGCCACACCCAATCGCCGTCCCCGTCATCAAGACCATCACCATCCCCGTGGAGAAGCCAGTACCTTACAAGGTTGAGAAGGAGATCCCCTACCACATCGAGAAACCAGTGCCAGTACCAGTGGAGAAGCATGTGCCCATCAGGATCCCCAAGCCAGTGCCTGTCAAGGTGCCAGTGTACAAAGTTGTGTACCATCATAGCAAACACTGAGTTGAAGCCCCAAGACTGATGCATCCTCATTTTCATCACCTTTCATCGCAGTCATCTTTTCTAGTACTATTGTTGTTTTGTTGATTTTTTGTTACCTACTTTGTAATAAATGTCCTTTGATATAAAAGCGGCTTGGTTGTTTTTTCTCTCTAAAATACCAGACATGTGTGTGTGTTTGTCTTAGTTACACCTCTTGATCTGAACTAGATCCAAACAAAGAAAAACAGTGTTCAAAATAAAGTGAGATAACTTTCCTTATTTCCAACTAGAACAATTTTCTTGCTTCCTAGATTTTGAATTGGAAGGATGAATACAAGACTTGTGACCACAGAGCATAGGCAACCAACATAGTGTGTCTGGTTCTATCAAATAAAAATCCCTAAACCTCAGTGAACTGTTTAGTATTACACTTACGAAAAGTACTATCAAACTTGACTTGACTTGGTAAATACTGCATACAAATCATTTGCATTAAAATATGTAGATGTTTCCTCGTATCTCATCTAGAACGCCAGCATTTGAAAGAAATCTCTGGTACATCTCTTGAATCACCGTTTCACGGAAAATTTATCTCTGTCATCCAAAGAATAATGATTACTTTGATATAAAAGTAGACAAACCCACTCTCGGCAGTAATTAAAACGTCATTCGATGCAGCAGAGAGGACCGCATTCGTGTCTAGTGACACTCCAGGACAAAGACATAATTATCTCTAAACTTTGTTCCTTTGGAGCCGGTGGCGTAGAAAACTTAACCGAATCGGGACAAAAGGACTTCTAAAGCGAGGATTTTTATGAAACGGAGTACAGGCTTTTTCTGGTGCTGTTGCCTTTTTTTAAACAGATCACTTAGCTGAGTAAATGTGTGACTTTCACTGCTTTGACATTTTGCAAACTTTCCAAGCTCGATTTTCTTTCTTTAAGAGACTTATTATTTATGCGATAAATTAAGGTAAAAACATTTACTTGTAGGCGTTTTCAAAATGTGTCAAGGATAGGATATATACCGTACGCGTAAATTTAACTTTGACAGGCTTTTCCCGGAGCACGGGGGCAACGCCCAGAGACACCACTACAAGCTGCACCTAATTGCCGAGCTACATTTCAATTAACTGCAGCAACGTTCGGACTGCGGCGACGGCATCCTCGCGTACATCTTTCACCAGACGCCGCATCCGTATTTCAGGGGACGTGTCGTCGCTGCACAATTCCGGCGATACAGTATAATTCAGCGGAATTTTCATCATTTCTGGCCTGAGTTATGGCGTAGCGCCGTTTTGTACGTCTTCTGCGGCGCGACGGAGTACTGAGGCGCGAAACCCAACTAGACGTCGCACAGTTGAAATTAATATCCCGAGCGCGAACACATCTCCGTGTCTGCGGAATCGTATTTCAGATGAGACGGCTAGATGGGCTGGTTGAGGGGCTTCCACGGAAGCCGATGAATGAGACGACGTGTGTAGGCACTGAGTACGAGCGTCGACCGAGGATGACGAGAAAGCCGGGGCTACGCGATTCCTGTCTTGGGGTTTTGGTTGGAAGATTCGAGTAGATGATATTCATTTTAGTTAAATAGGCCAGGAAAATAAGCTGGGAAATGGCTATTTCGCGACATTTTGTTTCGGCAAGCTGAATTTATCACTATAGATGCTAAATATTGTGTACAATAACATATTAGTTCCACAGTCATAAAAATGTGGGGAAGATTGTTTATATGGTGGTTAAATATATAATTTTTAGGTAAACTCACGTTTTTGGTTTATAACTTTTTTCCGTTCCTTTCCACGAAAAAAGAGTAAAGTACTTTTTTTTTCGTTTTCAAAAGATCTACAAAACTAGTCCTCGAGCGTAAAAAAATATTGATTAGATCAAAAGTTATAAACAGAATGTTTATTTATAACTTTTGAATTAATAGTATATTATTCAACGAGCGTATAATGACGGGTATTATTCACGAGGTGAAGTTTACGGCCACGAGCCGCAGGCGAGTGGCCTAAATCACCGAGTGAATAATACCCATTATACGGGAGTAGAATACTATACTTTATCCACGACTACTAAATATTTTTGTTGAAGTTTTTTTGAAATGTTTCGAAAAACATGGTATGTTAAGAAACAGATATACGACTCGCACAAATGAAGTCGCTGATGGCTCAGTGTAGATGCTCTTTCCCTTCCAACCGCGGGTCCCGGGTTCGAATCCAGTCTAGGAAAATTCACTTTTTTTTTTTTTTTTTTTTTATATGTACACCACTGAATTGAAAATATTTAGTGGTTTACACGATAAAATTTTAAAAACGGATTGTTTGTAGCAGAACAATATAATATTATAGCTAAATTAAGGAAGCATCTGACAGTAGTGATTAATGACTCATTAATCACTGCCGTGATTAGTGGGTATTATTAAGGTCGAGCAAACAGACGTATAATGGGTACATTATACAATAGTCGTGGATAAACATTTATAAACTGTGTTATTATTACCAGAATGTTTTGGCATCGCATCCTCTCATTCCTTATCACTGTCTAATAACTCACACGAAATCTGGAATCGGTAAGTTGAATAGTTTACAAGTTAGGGCCTTATATATAAATTAACTAATTATTAGTCTGATCGATTCCGAGGATTTTCCACAATCGCACTGATTGTTTTCATGGTAGATTTCATAATAATACATTGAAATCTATTATATATTTTTGAAATTTCTTTGCAAACTGGAAAGTTTTTTTTATTTTTTAGCCTTAGTTGCAAAATGGGATATACGACGCATGCGCGTGATATAATTATATATTATTACATATTCGGAAAGCTTATGAAAAGAACTTTAAGTTTAAAAAAAATCGGCAAGATTCGTTGAAAAACAACGGACTTGCAGACTCCGAGAGCGTTATTTTTGAGAGTTTTTGAGGTTAGGTTAGGTTACACAAGTAAAAAAAACAAAATATTCTGAGAAAATAAAATCTAAACTTTTGTACTCTTGAATATTTTTCGTATTTGTTTTAATTTCTAAAGTTATTTTCAGATGTTATTTTTTTTATTGAAACTTTTTTTTTCAATCAAAACGTATCTAATAGTTTCAAAAATATGCATTTTAAACTGCTTGAACTTGTATAATATATTGTTAGCATATAAAAAATGTAAATTGTAGAAGGATTAGCTTTCATTTTAAATCTCGTTAAAAATTCATCAGTTTTTGTACTGATTTTTTTCAAAAAAAGCGAATTAACAGTTTTATTTTGATCATAACTCTGTTAATTTTTATGCTAATGACTTAGTCAAGTTTATTTTAAAGATTTTTTTAAAGTACTTTAAAAAATGTTCTATGCATTTTTCTGGAAAAATAGAATTTTTTTAGTTATAGTTAAAAAATTCGAAGAATTTGATTTCACATTACAGAAAAAATATATGTCAATAGTACGAAATTGGCTCATTTTTTCGTAGCAACTGATCCTCCTTGACAAAATAATCATTTTTATTTGCAGTTTTTTCAAAAAAATTAAATCTGCAAGTTAGATAATTTGAACTACTTTCAATTACGAGTTGCCCCAAAATATTAAATTAATTTTCTTCTTGGAGACAGTTAAAGTGATTAACATAGAACAAGCTGACCTTTTTGTAGCTTTTTTAATTGTCCTTAATATCACGTTCAGTTATGATCAACTTTAGTAAGTCAGGACTTTTTAAAACCCTTTGGGTTTTAAAATTTTGTTATTTCTTTGAATAATATATCAAATTTGAATAAAATTGTATAACTAAAAAAGAATTTATGGAAAAATAGTCTTTGTTTTAGTTATTTTACGTTAAACGCTTCCAATTTAGTTTCCAGTGGACAAGAAATTATCTTCGACCAGCCGTATCTCAGCATCTCAGCACCTATTGCACCTACATAAATAAAAAAACCTCAGTCTTCTTTTTCTATAAGCTTCATTTTCTTCGTGATATTTTTTTTCCATAGAATGTCCATTTTCCGAGTTATTCGAGAAAAACTACTGAAAAACGACATTTTAACACTCGTCCCATTTATCAAACTTGAAACCTATTTTGCTCTGAAGCACCTACGTATTTGGATTACTTCCTGCGATAAAGGAATTCGAGGTCTGTATTTGTTCTATTCCGGCTCGAGAGCAGCTAAACAATTCTTGGTCGGCCGCTTTGCTGCAACTGATCCAGGTTCGATTAAGCGTTTTATAGCTCCGCTAACACTCTAAACCGTCCACGGTTTATTTGAAAACTCCAAACAAACTATTTTCTTCCCCACTGCCTTACTTCTCAGCAACCGGATTATTTGAACTGCGCTGGAAGGTCCGTAATATAGAAACGGAACCCTTTAAGTCAGCGTTTCACAAGAAATACGGCTCGCACCTGTAATTTTTAACGATCGGAATAATTCTTACTAATTTCGCATTCCCGAAAAATATCAAAAGGGAGACGTCGGGCAACCACTCAGCGAGGCAGGCGCTAAATATGCCCAGCAGGAAAAATATCTGCATAAAAACATCAGAATAATGGTGGGTCGTTATAACATTACAGGAATTTTAAATTTAAGGAGCACTGGTGGAATATTAAAATGAAAAAAAGGCCTTCGACGAAAGCAGGCCGTAGATGGAATTGCGTTTCGGTTTAATGGCAGTGTGAGAGAGTTAAGTGGGTAAAGTAAGTATGCATATATCTATCTGAACTACAAGTAGGGTAATTTATAGAAAAATGCCCATAGTTTAACACTTGATTACACGTTTGTACGATCAAAGTGTTACAAAATGCCAAGTATTCAAACTTAGAGTATGCAAATATGCTGTTTGTTTGTAGTTTTTGTAACGGGAATGCTAATGCCGCTGTTGAAGAACGTCATCAACTGGTAATTGGCCTCCAAGATCTCCAGACCTCACATCACTAGATTACTGTTTATGGGGCTGGTTAAAAAATGAAGGGTACAAACTCAGAGTACCCCAGTAGCACTAATTCCACTAAGTCAACGCCTCCTGAAACCCCTTTTAATGAAATAAAATAATATTCTTTACAACTACACCGAAGCTTATTTTCATGTTTAACTGGGACACTCTGTATATACCTTATTTTATAAATTGAACAAAAAAAAATTCCTAAACAGCTTACCAACAGTTTAAACAGTTT